CACCCATTAAAAAAAACGTACATAACTTTTTTTAATAGTCGGTTAAGTGCAGTGTTAATATTCGCAACTGTACTGTACCATAGATATGCGTCTGTTATTTATGGATTAGGTACTAGGTCTAGATACATCTAACGGCCATAGATTTGATGATGTAAATCATTTTAAAATTCGAAGGATGACGGGTTTAGACACAAGAGTCATTGATCTCTAGTTTTTGAAGTTGTCCCCCATATCGTATTAAATTCTTAACGCCTTGCATTCATGTTGTCCTGGTACTTACTTTGTATTATTACTCATTTATTTACAATTTCTTCCTAAGGGTATTATTATAATAACATATATATATTGTCTATTGCTATCGTATAATGGCCATGCGGTTTGGCATAGAAATTTATTTAGAGTGATGGTGTCATCGTGCGGTAACTAGATAAAGTTTCGTCATATTGTAATTGGCGTACGAATTCTTCTGTTCAAGAAACGAACAAGTATCAAATTCATACGATGTTCTTATGCATTTATGTTGTCCTGGTACTTTGCACTACCATCCTGTTACCGTAACAACGCGCATACGTCCCACTGCTGGACATTGGCCTCCTAATAAGAGAGAAAATGGTAAAAGGATTGTCAGCAATTTACCCTATCAGGTCGACCTCCACGCGGTTTCTCTTGACAAACATCGTGGTTAATTCTTGTGGGAATTGTCACTAATTTATCTACTTTCCATCTTCATCTATCATAGTTCCCTGGTGCCTCACTAGCATATACCGACGACGCAAGCGGGGATAAAAAAAACAGGAGGCCCACTCACGGTGACCAGGCGGCCTAGCATTTCGAATTTCATTGTGCGATGACAATTCCATGTTTTATGTTATTTTGTGTTCTGGTCAAGTGAAGCCGCGCGCTATAACTAGCGGCCCGTAAAAGTCGCCCCAACTGCGACTCATTAAAGATCACTCCACGGACAATGGACTTTCGCCGTCACAGTGGTCATTGACCTCTATTGTCCCATGTCGCGAACCTTGGCATTGTCTGCTAATGAGCACCATTGGACATACGAGAATTGGAAACCGCCATCTAGTTTTAAACTAAGCAGAGCTTTTTTTTATACAACTAAAAAATGGTAAACAAGCTGACAGCCCACCTGATGGAAAGTGGTAACCGTCGTCTATAGACATGAGCAGTACCATGCACATAACAGAGTATACTGTTTCCCCCATGATACCTCCCATGCGTTGTCATTCCTGAGGACTCAGGTGTTATTTCTCTGTACCCAGTAAATTCACGCCATATCCCACCCTTCAAACCGAAACAAAGCTATGCAAACACAGCTGCTTCACGGTTGAAACACGAATGGGACAGAGGTACCCAAGCAATTGACTTTTGTACAAAGTCTCTGGTGATATAGATTACAGAGTAACAGTAATCAAACTGTGATAGTTTATCCGTTAGAAAGTAGTAATGTGGAGTCACCTATAGCCTCCTGATACCTTAAAAATATAATTTATAAAGCAAAATAAATAAATAAATATGTTCAAAAAACAAAAAATAAAATATAAAAAAAAACATTTTACTAAATAAAATAATTTGATAAACTATATAAAACAAACTGAACTAAGAATAGACAATAATCTATAATATAAACTAAATTTTAATATAAATTTAAAATAAAAAAAAATAACAAAATTCCCATATATGTATATAAACCACTGTGTGTTATTTTTTTTTTAATGGATGATATATGGAACGGTAACACTCCACCTAGCTATCGGTATACGCTGGCGGAGTACCAGGGACACATGATAGGTGAGGATGTAAAGGCAGGTCAGTTAGCTCATTGTGACAAATACACCCGGAATTTAGTACGATGGTTTCCACGCTGAGGTCGATCTGACAGGGTATTTTATTTTTTGATGGGTGAAAACGGTATGGTAACCCCGCCTGCGCTAACGGAATACGCTGGCGGCGCACCAGTGAAGGGTGATAGATGAGAATGAAAACAGGCCAGTTAGCCCATCATGATGAACTCATCAGGAATTAACCATGATAGTTTCCAGGGAGAACCGCGAAGAGGTCGACCTGGTTGGGTATAATGCTAGCAATAGGATTCTCAGTCTCCATTACTAACAATCCCTTTCCCCTCTACAGGGTATATTGCTAGCAATGGGACTGGTGGTCCGCATTACCAATGACTTGACGCATTTTGTCTCCAAAAATTTCAGGGCTTACAGTAGATCCTGATAAAAATAGACCTCTAGAGATAGTGGGGGAAAGGGATTGTTAGTGATGGAGTCTAGCAATATACCTTATCAGGTCGATCTCCACGCAGTTACTCCCCCTGGAAACCATCTTGAATAATTCTTGTAAAATTCGTCACGACAGGCAAACTGACCCGCTCGACCGACTGACCTACTTTCGTCCTCACCTATTATGTTACCCTGGTACCTCGCCATCGTATACCGATCCATTAAAAAGCGTATACGGAGCGTGAGGAAAGGGATTGGTAACGAAGGGGTCTCCTCCACATTGCTATACCCTCAAAAGTCGTGATGCAGTTGTGCATGGCTGTTTCGGTTTAAAGGGTGGCATATGGCAGTGAATTTACTTGGTACAGAGGAATAACACCCGAGTCCTCAGGAATGGCAACGCGTGGGGGGTATCATGAGCGAAACAGTATACTCTGTTATGTCCATGATACTGCTCATGTCTATAGGCGACGGTTACCACTTTCCATCAGGTGGGCCGTCAGCCTGTTTGCTATTCTAAGTTGCCTAAAAAAAAGATTATAGGGAGCCCAACGATCTGGCCCAGTACGCCGCCGCACGGTGACACAGTATAAGCGAGTGTTCCAGATATACAATTCGCAATATCCTTAATTCGACCTTGTTCGGATGCGGTCATGTGTCTGATGTCATTTTAACGCATAATGGACGTCGAGGTCACCGTAATGCGAACACATTTCATTTGTATGATGTATGTATGACCATTTTGTTTCTGATACGAGGCTTATTTATAGTAAAATTACATTGTGTCCAGGTATAATGGCATTATCCTCGAGATTGACAATGTATGATAGGCACACTAGGCGACACAGTATATCCTGTGACGTCCATCGTTATCATTATGTCAGCCTTTAACTGTCCATTGCTGAATATAAGCCTCTTGGGGGGTTTGGCCAGTAGTTGTCACGCTTGGCAGACGGATTGGCAACCGCAGTTAGGCTTTAGAGATGTTTTAAAAGGGATGCTCCTGCCCGTCCCTCGCCCTCCCTTAGTCGCCTCTTATGAGACCCACGGGAAAGGAAGGGGTGGCCTATTCTATGCTGGGACCACAGGGCCCTCCTAATCTCTGGCCGGTGGGAGTAAGATGGATTGTTGAAAATGGCAATCCCATCTGAAAATCGTCGTGGTCAATTCCCTATGGATTCGTCACAGTGGACTTATGGACCAGACTTCGATTCAAGATTTCGATTGATCCTCACCTATCATAATTCTCTGGTACAACAGGGAGAGAAAATGTTAGTAAAGGGGACGTTAATCCCCATTGCTAGCAATATACCCTGTCAGTTCGACCATCCGTCGGTTCGCCCTAGAAACCATCGTGATTAATTCTTGTTTAATTCATCACAATGGACTAACTGTTCTATTTTCATCCTCACCTATCATGTTTCCCTGGTACTCCGTAAATTTACTGGGTACAGAGGAATAACACCTGAGTCCTCAGGAATGGCAACGCATGGCGGGTATCATGGGCGAAACAGTATACTCTGTTATGTTCATGTCTATTGGCGACGGTTTCCACTTTTCATCAGGTCGGCCGTCAGCTTGTTTGCCATTCTAAGTTGTATAAAAAAAAAAAACCCCGCCAGCGTATATCGATAGCGCAGGCGGGGTTACTATTCCATTACCATCCATTAAAAAAGTACCATCCGTCACGCTTCAGTGACCACATCATATGACTAGGCTATCAGAGCGTGACAACAGTTCATACAATTGGGACAGCTAGCCTTGTGAACGTGACATGTATGGGATCTTTTCTACGTGGACCTATATTTGTTAGATCAGTTTTTACATGTAAAAAAATATTTCATTTATTTATTTAACTCTTTATTGCACCATGTGCAAAAATATACAATGACAAGTGAATAATTCAAGTGAAATACAGTAACATAAATACAGATTGAAATATACACATAAAGGTACAAAAGGCGGTGTTATCGCTAGGGCGATCTCTTACAGACAACTTTCGGTTAAAGGAGAACAGATAGAAGTGGGCAGGTGGCGCAAGAGTGAATTAATAACTTAAGTTTATCAATCAATTCCCTAATCCACGTAGTACCCTGCTTTTTTTTATGGGTAATAAAGGAATGGTAACCCCGCCTGCGCTATCTGTATACGCTGGCGGAGTACCAGGGACACATGATTGGTGAGGATGAAAGCAGGTTAGTTGGCCCATTGTGACGAATTCCAGTAGAATTAATCACGATGGTTTCCAGGGGGAAACCACGTGGAGGTCGACCTGATAGGGTGTATTGCTAGCAGTGAGAGACTGTTACATTACCAACTCCCCCCCCCCCCCCCGTATTTACCTACTTATATAATAAATGTTGAAATAAATTTACTACATACAATATATTACAAACAAGCATACTGCCCGTCTGATGGTAAACGGTCGCTGTATCCTATGGACGCCTGCGACACTAGGCGTGTAACGAGCGTGTCGCTGACCCTGAAGAAACCTTTATTTTTTATAACAATCACTACCTGTCCACTGCTGCACATAGGCTTCTCCCATAAGGAGGGTGTTGCCAGTAGCTGCCAGGCGGATTGGCAACCGCAGTTAGGCCTTATTGATGTTTTAAGAGGGACTGCTGCTGTCCATCCCTCGACTGTTAAGTTCTCTTGATCGCCTCTTACGACACCTATGGGAAAAGACCACACGGCGGTTTTAACATGTTACGAATTGGGAATACACGATTGACGTAATCCTTTCTTTTGTTCCAGAGCTGTGCATGATTCCAGTACGCCATCAGTGAGGTCCAAACCATATTCAAGTAAGTGGTCCATCATATTTTTGCTGCCTAATTACATTCCTGAGGGGATTTTGTATTCGATTTGTCCAAAATTTTTAACTGACTTAAAAGAAGGTTCTTTCGTTTTTTTCTTTTGTTTTTACTACTTAGAATGGCAAACAAGCTGACAGCTCACCTGATGGAAAGTGGTAACCGTCGCCTATAGACATGAGCATACCGTGGACATAACAGAGTATACTGTTTCGCCCATGATACCCCCCATGCGTTGCCATTCCTGAGGACTCAGGTGTTATTCCTCTGTACCCAGTAAAATCACGCCATATCCGACCCTTCAAACCGAAACACAGCCATGCAAACACAACTGCTTCACGGTTGAAACACGAATGGGACAGAGGTACCCAAGCAATCGACTTTTGTACAAAGTCTCCCTCATAGCTCCGTCAGTTCGGAACCGACTTAGAAAATTCTTTTCTTTTTTTTAAAGGACATACAGATTGGTCTGACACAATTTTTATTATTATCCTTAAGACGAATTTTTACCCGAATTTGTGTTAAAATTTGGCAAGACTATGCAGTTTTCCGAACACAGCTACAAATGAGCTCCCTGTCGAGGTTGAGAGAGACTACAGCATGGGGTTCTTCAAAAGGGGGGTAAAGAGGTTTCTTCAGGGTCGGCAACGCACGCGTAATACTTCTGGTATTGCAGGTGTTCATAGGCTACGGTAATCACTTACCATCAGGTGGGCCGTATGCTTGTTTGCCACCTCAGTGGTATCAAAAAAAATTATTGTCTCTAATGCATTCGAACACGCACTTCTAGGACATATTATTTAATCTATGACATCATTAAAAAAGTCTAGCCGCTTTTACTAGAAATAACGCGCCGTAAATTGCCATAGGCCGAGTCTAGCCGGCGTCTGTCGTAGATCGATATGTGCAGACGCGCCACTCGTGCGAGGTTAATGCCTACACTTAGAATACTTTTTAGCTTTTCGCCTACCCTGTCGGTATAAATGACTAGGGAGTTATCCAGTCTGATTTACAATCTAGTTTTGATAATCTGAAAAGTTTGGATACGTGCCATGTAAGTAAATATCAATGGATGTATTACGCAGCGCCCTCTAGCCCCAAACTAAGCAGAGTTTGTAGTGTGGGCACCAGGGCCGTGCCTGACGGGCGTTCATTGCGTGCACCGCACGCAGGCGGCCGAAATTAAGAGGCGGCCAAATCGTTACAAGTTGTTTACTGGGTTACCGATTTCGGTTAACCAAAAACTGATTTTTTTCCCGGTTTGATGCCCTGTGTATAATAATAAACATTAAAAATTAAAGTAGTTTTTTTTAATGTTATCCTGGGGGCGGCCATACAGACTGGCACGCAGGCGGCCATATACCCAGGCACGGCCCTGGTGGGCACAAGACAATTGATTAAAAGTAGATTTAATTTCTCATCTACAACTATGTCCTTATTATAAATGTAAAATTTTATTTGTTTGTTACCTCTTAGCGTCTTAACAACGGCTTAATGAATCCCTTTGAAATTTGGTATATACGTAGGTACTTTTTTTCGATAGATGATAATGGAATGGTAACCCTGCCCGCGCTAACGGTATACACTGGCGGGGCACCAGTGAGGGATGAAAGGTGTGAAAGAAAATCAGGTCACTTAGCTCATCATGATAAATACGTCGGGAATTCAGCACGATGATTTTCAGGAGAAACCATGAGGAGGTCGGCCTGACCAAGGTATATTGCTAGCAATGGGACCAGAAGTCCACATTTCTGACAATTCCTTCTCCCCGGGTGAGCGTATTAGGAGACTGTAAAGCTCACCCAGTTGATTAAATACTTTGACAGCCACAGTTTTTTTTTTTAACTAATGTGACTGTTATCGTACATTACCCTACTTTTGTAACAGTTGTTTTGTTCCAATAAATGTTAGATAGATAAATAGATAGATATATAATTTATTTGCGTTACTTACAGCACACAAATTACAATACAAACGTACACATGATACAGACGTAAAAAAAAACATATTATTATTAAAAAAAAAAATAATTCAAATGGGTTTTCTTTTGTGGAACACGATTTTATTTTAATGATCCGTCTGCGTTGCATACTCTTTGCCATCGCCACCCTTATATTACTGCGGTCGGATTCGACTGTAGTTTTTGTTTATTCTCATATAGGTAGGTATAGTGAGAGGCGCGACGTTGGCGCGGCGACTGGCCGGATAATTGTATGTTTTATGGATTTACTTGTATTTCGTTAGAGGTTTTATTGCTGTAGAACATACACTTTGTGACTAGACCAGACGGAGACTTTTGTACAAAAGTCGTTTGCTTGGCCACCTCTGTCTCATTCATGTTTCAACCGTGAAGCAGTTGTGTTTGCATGGCTGTGTTTCGGAAATACCAATGTTTGTTTGTAGTATGGGTGCGTTTTTACAAATATACATACAAATATATATATACATACTAGGCTTTTAGTGGATGATAATGGAATGGTAACTTCGCCTGCGCTAACGGTATACGCTGGCGGGGGTACCAGGGACACATAGATAGGTGAGGATGAAGCAGGCCAGTTAGTCCAACGTGACGAATACAATGTTAAATTAGTCGCGATAGTTTCCAATGGGAATTGTGTGGAGGTCCACCTGATAAGGTATTTTGATAGCGATGGGGACTAATCTCGCCATTACTAACAATCCCTTCCCCCCTACAAAAGTCGTTTGCTTGGCCACCTCTGTCCCATTCGTGTTTCTACCGTGAAGCAGTTGTGTTTGCATGGCTGTGTTTCGGTTTGAACGGTGGGATATGGTAGTGAATTCACACGGTACAGAGGAATAACACCTCAGGAATGGCAACGCATGGGGGGTATCATGGGCGAAACAATATACTCTGTCATGTCCACGGTACTGCTCATGTCTATAGGCGACGGTAACCACTTTTAATCAGGTGGGCCGTCATCTTGTTTGACATTCTAAGTTGCATAAAAAAAAGCTAGGCACGGGTAGTATCACTATCGCTCCGATATCTATGTATTGGTTTTCTCTGGACACTGATGACGGGTATAACGTCATCACGCATTTCGATATCGCCCACATCGATTGGATATCTATTTTGGAATATGTCAAAAGTCTGTTATCCAATTTTTTATTTTTTTTGATACGATCGGTTTTATACGCAGCTCTTTCCGGTGGTCACGGGTTCGATTCCCCACACAGTACAAATACTGTTCTTTGTATTTCAATTTATTTGATTGTTGATCGTAGACTTCATAAGGAATGCATCCACTGACTCCCTGCAATGCATTTGAGGTCGGGGGGAGGGGGTCGACCTACACTGCGTTTGCCTTTACGAGGTCACCACTCAAGGACCATTCTTCCCCATTGATTTTCGATTTTTAAAGCTATGTGAATAGCCCATTGCATTGTAAATATACATAAATACTATATAACAGAATTTACAGTATGATTATTACATAAAAAACAAAAACGTGGTCAACCAATAAAAATCCGTACAATTTCGTTACCAAACTATACACAGACTTCACGGTCATAAACAACTTAATACTGTATCTATAATGAGCTTAAATTACCGTCTAATTACCAAACACGTCCGCCCCATCGACGCATCGAACGTGGAATGAATGAAAAAATCAAATTTCGAACGTCGTCTATTCGAATTTCGAATCGCGCGCCATCTTCCCGCGTCGGTGCGCTTCCGCCGCGACCCCAATTGGACGCGTCCTGCGGAACGCCGCTCCCGGAACTTTAGCCGCTCTATCTCTTTCTAACGTACAATATGTGTGTAACTGGTACATGATCAAATATGGGCCATGAATATTTGAGAAAATTGTACAGTTTCTCTTGTAGAACGTTCAGTTAGAAGGATGTTAATGATTCCAATTTTCACCTTTTATGGTAGTAAGTTCCTTCTAATATTCTTTTTTAATCCAAATTTTTTTTATACAACTTAGAATGGCAAACAAGCTGACGGCCCACCTGATGGCAAGTGGTAAACGTCGCCTATAGACATGAGCAGTTAGCTTTAATTTCCAAACACTGGTCTATCTGATTGTTTCTTCTTTTCATAAATTGCCATTCTTTATTTATGTATTTATATAATTATTTATTAATATGATAGTTTGTTGTATATATATATATATATATATATATATATATATATATATATGAAGAAGAAATTTGATAAAGGTACTATCATACCTACTTGTACTACAATTAGTCCCTCACCCTGATGTTGTCCTGTAAAGATCGCTCCCAGCAATAAGACCGGCTCACTGTACTCATACAACTGTATCGTTGCATTTATTAATCGTCTCGCTTATTCCCTGTATTGTATAATGCAAATAAATTATACTCATGCGTTCATTCATTCGATGCTATATCTAATAAACGATATAAACTCCACTGGGCCTTGGCTATTCACGGCGCTGACGCATCCACCGTACCGTTGTTGACTCGAGGAGTATTGTGCAAATGTTTTAGCACCGGAAATGAACAGCGCCCGCGTCGACCGATGGCCATATGATCTGATATTGCTTAGTAGTTCTTTTTTATATGTGAAAATGGAATGGTAACCCCGCCCGCGCTATCGGTATACACCGGCGGGGCACCAGTGAAGGATGATAGGTGAGGATGAAGCAGGTCAGTTAGCCCATCGTGATGAATTCATCAAGGAATCAATCACGATTGTTTCCAGAGAGAACCGCGAGGTGGTCGACCTGATAGGGTAGGGTATATTACTAACAATCCCTTTTCCCCCTATATATATATCTTATATATAAAATTCTCGTGTCGCGGTGTTTGTTACCAAACTCCTCCGAAACGGCTTTACCGATTTTTATGAAATTTTGTGTGCATATCGGGTAGGTCTGAGAATCGGCCAACATCTATTTTTTATACCCCTCAATGATAAGTATATATATATATATATATATATATATATATATATATATATATATATATATATATATATATATATATATATATATATA